GTTGTTGAATCAATGTTTCTTGAATTAAATAAAATTCTATTTTCACATAAAGTTCATCTTTTTTGATCAGTAATAAATGGATTAAACTCACTAATGTTTTCAATATCATTTAACAGCGATAAGACATCTTTTTCAGTTGGATAAGTTTTTTCCTGTTACTCGATGTAAACGAAAGATATTCACTTGATCTATTTCGTTTTTTATTAAACTGCTGTTTCTATTGTTTCTATGTATTTCTTCGAATAGTTTAATATTAATTTGTTCAAATTTTAAATAATAATCTTATTAAATACATATAAATTAATATTTGGTTTTAAGTTAAACTCATTCTGTGGTAGTTGTAAATATCCAACAGTAGTTGAGTTATTGACAAATGTTTCTAAAATGTTAGAATCTTTCATTTCTTTTGTATCTATTTCGGAGAACTTTTTCCAATCTAACCAAATTTGCATATGTTTATTACACCTTTCATTCTTATAACTGTAATCTGTTATAGCTTAGAATTTAAAAATCTTATCTATTTTTTCACACGCTAGAATGGCAATATTATTCATTTTACGGACCAATTTTATAATATTTCAAGTTCTAATGTTTTCCTTAAAACACCCCTTTGGATTTGATTCTACTAAAATTAGTTTTTACAGAAGAATTTTCTCGAAGCACATTGCAATCCAAGAAAGAGATATTTCTTCTGGATAACACGTTTTGGAATCAAAAAGCTTTTGTATTTTTTCAGAATGTATTTTGATGTCAATAGTTTTAATTTTCCGCTTTATCACAATCTTCTTTAATTTTCGACTAAACAAACCTGTTTTTTTCATTTGCCGTTCAATATCGTTAGCAGAGAAATAGATTTTGGAAGTAGGGAAACCATTTGTTTTGACTAGTGTCCTACTGATGTTATGTAATTTAGTGAAAAATTCATAAAATTCTTTGTTTTTCCGTTTAGAAATAAAATTTGTATAGCATAGAATACTTCAGGCTAATTGTCCAAATCATCAAAAACATTTTTTTCTTTATAACAGCAATCCCCTTGATAAAAAAAATCTACTGCACTGATTTTTGAACTGAGTTGAGTTAAGTTGTGCGACACCAAAAAAAATAGTTATGTTCCTCTTCTGTATTTTATATTCTTTGAGAACGCGAATGTCTCGTTTACTCAAATATTTCTTAATACCATCGAAAAGAGAAAGACTAGTCAAGGAGACTAGTAAGAAGGTACAATGACTTCTGTCGATTCCATCCTTAATATTACATATTCTTGAATATGTTCTTCTTTTTACTTGTTATTTAAATAAATACAGTTTAAATGAAATCAAAGACTAGTCTTACTCTTCTTAGCTTAATAATTTAAAACAGCCATGGGCACACGCATACTAAGTTCAAAAAATCTCTTTTGTCTGCATTTGTGTTCAAATGCGTGTGTATGAAAAGTTGAAACCATATGAATAAAACAAAATATTCCATTCGAACACATACATGCCATGTGTAGTACGCACAATATTTTGTGTACGGTATATTCTCTCTCATGGAATTGAAGTGTAAAAATTTACACTTGGCCAATGCATTTTAATAAATGTACCCATATCGGCTTTAAAAATTATTTAAGTGTTTGTGCTAACTAGATTTTTTATAAAATAATAACTATTAAGTAAATATAAATATCAGTTAAGTTTACGTGCATATAAACTTGTTCGGTACATTTAACATTCTCTGTAACTTATATCTGACTTCGTAAAAACGGTCACAAATTTAAAATTTTTAACTTTATTGATATTTCAGTTCACCATGAATTTGGATAATTGGTTAAAAGGAGCAACTTTAAAAACAACAACAATAACTTCAATTTCTTCGACGTCTAAAGAAGGTGCCAAAGAAGATACCGTGGTAAATTACGTCGTCATTTCGAAGTAAATCACTCGGAATATAAAGACAAACCAATTGCTTATTTTAAACGAAAACTTGAAGAACAAGGCAAAGTTAAACTTTACATGACAAAAAAATTTAAAAGCGACAACGAAAATGCGACAGAGGCGTCTTACAGAGTGAGATATCGCTTAGCACTTGCCGGAGAAACACACACAATTGGCGAAATATAAAACCATGTGCAAAAGATATTGTTTCGTGTGTGTTAAGTGAGAAGTCGTGTAAAAAAGTTGAAGGCTTCAACTTTTTTACGCGAAACAGTGTTGTTTGAAAGTGACATAGCTTCAACTTGAAGCTATGTCACTTTCAAACAACACTGTTTCGCGTCCCATTCATGATCTCGCTGATGATATCAAGATAGAACTTATTTCTCGGCTACACTTATGTGATGCACACTCACTGCAATTAGACAAATCGACTGACGTTGTAGGTATTGCAATTTTTTTGGTTTTTGCGCGCTACGATTTTGATAAATGTACTGAAGAAGATTTGCTTCTGTGCGAAAGTTTACAAACTCATGCCACAGGTGAGAATATATTTGACTGTATCGATAATTTCATGAAAAAACATGGCATAAGTTGGGAAAAATACATTGATGTGTGCAGTGATGGCGCCAAAGCAATGGTAGGAAAAGTGGCAGGCGCTATTACAGCATAACATAAAGAATGTAGCAAAGAACTGCACGAATAGTCGCTGTGTTCTTCACAAACATGCACTGGTAGCCAAAAAAATGTTAGCCTCATTTAAAACTGTGCTGGACGAAGCAGTGCAGATTATCAATTTTGTCAAAAGTCGCCCATTACAATCACGATTATTCAATGTGAAGATACGGGTAGTACTCACACAACCCTGCTTTTGCATACGGAAGTGCGGTGGCTATTGCGAGGTAAAGTCCTCGTTAGACTGTTCGAATTACGGCAAGAGCTATTGGCATATTTTTTGGATCACAAATTTAAATTATGTGATCGATTAACCAGGATTTCGTGGCTATCCAAAATCGCATATCTTGCCGATATATTTACAAGACTAAACGAAGTATGTTTGTCACTCCAAGGAAGAAACGTCAAAATTTTTGATGCGAGAGATAAAATATTATCAGTATCTCGTAAGTTAAACTTTTGGATCTCAGCTGTTGAGCAAAATAATTTGGACTGTTTTCCAACACTAAATGATTTCTTGGAACAATCCGAACAACCACTTGAAGAAGAAATTCGTGCTGACATTGCAGATCATCTTCACAATTTATACACTTCTATCAATCAGTATTTTCCATCTTTAAATGAAAAAATACATAACTGGGTTCAAAATCCATTCGTTCAAGGCAAACCAGTCGGATTTTCTGCTGTGGATTTCGAAAATCTAATAGAAATTAGTTCAGACAACCAATTAATTCAAAAATTTAAAGAAGTTTTCCTTATTAGTTTTTGGAGCGAATTACGTGAAGAATATTCCGAGTCGTTGAGACGTGCAAGCCGTATATTGTTGCCATTCGCCAGCACGTACTTGTGCGCGACTGGATTCTCGCTATATTCGGGAACAAAAACAAAGTACCGAAATCGACTTGACGCAGTTCCAGACATGAGAATCCAATTGTCAGCTATTACGCCAGATATAAAAAGAATTTGCCAAAAACAAATATTTTTCATTCTTCTCATTAAAAAGCATGTAATTTACTTGTGTTTTTAAAGATAAATATAATAAAAAATGAATCAACATCTAATTATAATTTTATTAAATAATCTATGTTTTCAGATATTTTTGTAGCTCCATATTATTAGGTATTATGCCTAATATTATGTCAAAATACTACTACGGTTCCGCAAAGTTTTAAATTTTATGAAAGGGTTCCACGGCTAAAAGAAATTGGAAAACACAGCCCTAAACTCTATGAATATTTTGACTATCAGTTTCAGAATGTCTCATTTTGATTAACCTTTGATAGGTTACATTTCTCTTTAAAAATGAATAAGATAAAAAGTAAAAAGTGAAAGTTTTCTTGATCAAAATCGCCATATCTTCCGATATCTAATGCAGTTATGTGAGGAGAAACAAAAATAATTAATATCAGATGTTTTATCAGTCCAATTACAGAATGACTTTTCAATACTAAACCGTCAATTGCAGAGAGAACGCCAATTTTCGAATTAAATTTTCAAACCTTGTGAACAACTTTTAAAAATAGTATTCTCCATAAAATTTTATTGAAAAAACAGAATTTTCTGAATCTTGATAATTTATCGGAACTGCCGATAACAACAATTTTCTTTATTTGATTTATTGAATCATAATAATTTCCCTAAACTCTGTCATCATACTGTTTTACGTGAGTAATGTATGTATATTTCTAAGAGAAAAGAATACGTTTTTCTCGTTTGTGTGATAAATTCAAAAGATATAGTGCCGTATCATCAGTAATACTGATGACATAATGTCATTCGTTCCTTTCTCTACTGTTCTGCATCTAAACAATAATGACACTTCCTCAATAGGAGTGTTTACGTGATATAGTAAAAAACAAAATAAAATTTCCAACAAGATAAATTATCTCTAGGAAATGAGTTCTTCAATAGTCTGCATATATAAATCCGCCATGTCTCACCCAGAAATCATTCTCGAGCATAGACAAGTAAACAAGTGTACTCTCTCCATACAGGTAAGTCAAACGGGTTTTGTTTAGATAACACTAGCAGGATTAAATGCGCTGACTCACCGGATGACCCATCATATGCAGTTTCTGTGGAAGTGGGAGAAATACGATCGCAACACTCAGACTTGTGTATTATGAATTTTTTATAGATTATTAACATTAGATGACAAAGCATACAGCCACTTTGTAGAAAAAGAAGGGAGTGAATAAATAATTGCTATTTTATTTGTGACGGTATCTGTGTTAATTTATTCGCGATTGTGGTTGTTTTCGTTTTACAGAAAATCTGACCTGATAACTTTTTTTAACTTACAGCTGTTGTAAAAAGCTAAAAATCTCTAGTATATGGAATGATTCGCATCTGTTCAGTCACATATGGCCTTTTTCTTATCATGCGTGTGTAACGTTCTCTTTTAGAATAGCTCAAATGCCAATTCGACGCCAGTTAAACGAAAGAGAGGCTTTGGAAACTAATATAACATTTTATTTAGAATTCGAAGGGGATCGGATATCGAAAGAGCACGTTTGTCGAGCATTCCAGCTAGTGCGCAAACAGCACCCATACTTTCGCCTTCGGATTGATGAGAGGGCGTATGTGGAAGACGACAATGAATTGCAAATCATCCACTTCGGTGAACTCTTTCTCGATTGGCAACAAGAATTAGTCGAATGGGCAAATAGCTCCCGTGATCATTCGAAATCGTTGATGTTTTTGAAACACTGCTTCGAGGATAGTAAACATCAGCTGTTTGGTGTTGTGAATCATGTTGGCATCGACGGCTTGGGCTATTTTCTGTTAGTTGATACATTTCTGGATTATTTAGCACGACTAATTGAATCGATTGATGTGCGCGTTACTGAAGAGCGCCCTTTTGTCGACATGCTGTCCCAATATCCGCTGAAAGAGACTCCTGAGGTGTGTTTCAATCGTGATTATCTCGAACGTCAGGCAAAAGATCCGGATCCGAATCAAGCACGTCCGCTGGCAGGGAAAGGTGAAATCATAGGCAACTTTGAAAAATTTGATAAAAACATCACTAATAACGTACTGATAAACAGTCTTCGGAATAAAACACCCATGCAAGGAATGTTAAGCACAGCTGGTATGCTCATTTCGATATGGATTCGAAAGCCGAGACCGATGTTACCACAATGGATCATGAACTGGTGCTCAACGAATCTCCGCCAACAAGCAGAACCCCCAGTCGACACGAACGACATATTGCTTGGATCGTGTCCATTAGCGTGGGAACAAGAGGTGAATCAAATTTCAACGTTGTGGCAATTAGCTCGGACAGCTACGCAACAAATTCATGAAAATAATTTAAAAAGATATGGTTTCATTATCTGGAATAATCAAAAATCTGGCTTTCGTATCAGACAACCAACACTGATGACCGTCTCGAATGGGTATGTTCCGATCAAAACACAGTATGGATCGGTTAAAGTCATCGATATTCGAGCGATGACTGGACATTATGATTCTGTGACAAGCAATATGTCTTCCCATATGACATATTCAGCTACCTTCGACGGACAGTTGCAGCTAATTAATACGTTCACGTATCCTGGTCTTGGAAAACAGTGGGGTGAACGGTTTCATTCTGGTATGATATACATTCTCGAACGTTTTGCCAATAATCGTGATGATACTGTCGCAGCATTATTTCGATCTCTAGATGAGCAATTTCCTTTGTAAGTTAGATATTCTAAGCAAGGCATACATAGTGGACATCCGCTTGAACATTTAGAAAAAAGTCAAAGTTGATATTTCATTTTTTGTACTGAACGATTATCAAGTTGGATATAGTAGCTATCTTTACCTAAAATAAATTTCTTTTGTTTCCAATCGTACGACGGGATGACTCGAACTAGAAAAATTTGCTCGAAAATACCGTAACAGGCGAAAATTAATTTTTTTCGGAACTTAATACTTTTGAAAATTAAAAACAAAACCAGAAACAAACCTATGCTACTTGTTCTCCTATGACACTTGCTCTCCTAGGACACTTGCTCCTTAGGACAGATGCTCCCCAAGAGTGATGAGTGATAATTCTGAGAAATCCAAATGTTTTTCAATTACGTGTAGGCAGATGCTTGAAAGAATATTGTATATTAATTAATTAGTGATGAACCAAAAATGAACGATCATTCAGAAGAAAAATATATCGCACTGTTTTTTCTTTTCTTATCGAACTGCGATTCAATATTTTTCACACATATCTGTCAATTTATACAGCCTTTTCCCCCAGGTAGTTGACGTTTGATTCAAGTAGATGACATAAATCAGATGGCAGTGGTGAAGATAAATATTCATCCGACGGTAACGTACCCTATTAAAAAGATCAAAAATTTGTACTGCAAAAGGCGTAACGTTATTGGAGCGCGCTATTAGTTGTTGCGAAATGGAAATCATTTGGTCAAAGCATCAATCCTAATTTGAAAGTTAGGATCATGCGTGTGTAACGTTTTCTTTTAGAATAGCTCAAATGCCAATTCGACGCCAGTTAAACGAAAGAGAGGCTTTGGAAACTAATATAACATTTTATTTAGAATTCGAAGGGGATCGGATATTGAAAGAGCACGTTTGTCGGGCATTCCAGCTAGTGCGCAAACAGCACCCATACTTTCGCCTTCGGATTGATGAGAGGGCGTATGTGGAAGACGACAATGAATTGCAAATCATCCACTTCGGTGAACTCTGTCTCGATTGGCAACAAGAATTAGTCGAATGGGCAAATAGCTCCCGTGATCATTCGAAATCGTTGATGTTTTTAGAAGTAGCTCAAAAATGATATCGGTTGAAACTCCTCGAATCGGGTCACGTATGCCGTCAAGACAGGCACCATGACTGTTTGCAACGCAGTCCTATGAAAAATGTATCGAAAAAAAATCATTAATTTATGCGCCTTTACAGAGTATTACTTAGGCATGAGATACGGTACATGGTGGTCTCTAAAGGCATAATTTAGCACTTAAAATTCGCGTCTCAGTTCAAGGATTAAAAGCGGGCTTTTCGTCCTAGTTAATTCGCCGCCTTTTATCATATACTTGATCGGTGTGAAAAGCACTTGTCATATGCTGTTCTGTGGGTTCGTTGCGATATTTTACTAGCATAGTTGAAGAAAACCATTGATAAATATCTTCAGGTCAGGACTCTAGTCTTCAGAAAATCCTTCATCGGTCTCGATTCATCAGGAAAAGCCTTTTATGCGTTTTTGCGTAGATCGATAGAGAAATATATGAAGAACGTTTGTGGCCAGAAAATATCTAAGAATTTTTGTTCTTGCGTTACTGTAGTCACAAAATCAGAGAAGCTAAACATGAGTTCTAAGGTCGTCTATCGTGTATCGCTTCACTTTGAAAAATATACTGCATCTCTGCTGCATTGTTAAGCAACTCATTTTGAAGAAAATTATCGATTCCGTAAGAAAAATCGCAATAACGTTTTAATTAACCACTCTTTTAGCTAAAACTGGTGAGAAAACTTTAAAAAGTTATAGTTTAAGAATGTATAAGACCTGATACAAACAATTTTGAGAGTCGACATGAGAGGTTTTGAGGAGGACACTGCGCTCCATATAGAGATATGTGAAACTCAGTTTTAAAAAAGTTGATGTTCGGTCTGAAGAACACCGTTACCGTTAAAGAGATAAAATGTGAAAGGCTCTAATATACGATGTGTCCTCCCTAGTGAATTTACTCAAGTGTGAGTACTCAAAAAGTACTCTGTTAGAAAAACCGGACGAGTACTCATACGTACTCATACATTTTTTTACTCACTGAGTACTCACCTGAGTACTCATGAGTGAGTAACAAGTACTCTGAGTACGACTTTGAGTACTCATGCTTGGGTATTG